ATGCATACTCGAGCTTTATTTTCGTTCTCCATCATGACGTGTTGCCGATAAGTATTCGCTTGTATGTTTGCTAGATGTTCTCATATACCAAGACGGCACGTTTTCACCGATAAGGCGAGTATGAAAAACGTTTAGTGTGATGACATTCTGTCTTTTTTTCTTTTGGAGAAAAAGCATTAAGAAGTTATCAGACAATGCTTCAGTAGCAAGTGGTGCTCATCCTTGTGATATCATAACAAAACGGTCGTTACTAACACGTACAAATGGCAGCGGTCAATCAAGTGTCAACTACTGTAAGCAGCACTGAGACAATTTCATTTCATAATATCAATTATATCATCGGAACGAAAGCAAGATCGCACAAGCGACGATCGAAATGCCCGACTCTACCATTCTTCAAATCTACAGAACCGAAACAAGTTCTTTTCGATGTATCAGGAAGATTTATGCACGGAATGAATGCTATACTCGGTAATAATCTGCTTTTTTTACTTCTTTCTATAATACTTTCGATTAATTTTCGTATAAAAAGGTCCTTCTGGAAGCGGAAAATCGTCGTTACTTGATATTCTGGCCGATCGAAAGGATCCGCGTGGCATATCGGGTGTTGTCTTAGTCGATGGCTTTCCACGGTATCCGTCATTTCGGTATACAGTTGGTTATGTCGTTCAAGAGGACATATGTAGCGGCACATTAACAGTCCGCGAAAATCTATATTTTTCAGTTAGCCTTCGTTTGCCAGAAGTACTATCAGTCAGTGACAAGCGTTTTCGTGTGTCGGCTATTATCACAGAGCTCGGTCTTGATGCTTGTGCCGATACACATGTGGGAACAGAGTTTCTTCGCGGTATATCTGGTGGTGAAAAGAAACGCACTTGCATTGGCATGGAATTGGTTTTATCACCCAAAATTTTGTTTCTTGACGAACCAACAACAGGTAAAACGAAAAAAGTGACGAATAAGATGTGCCTTAAAAAATTCTTCTAGTCAATGCCAATTCGAGATCTTAATTAGACTAAATAAAATCTAGGTTCCTTTTATCGTCTTTTTTCATAAATGCTCTTAGGCATCTATGCTGCTTCTGAAAGAATGATTTCAATCGGACTTTTTGTATAGTGCCAAAATACTGCTTTACAAAGGGCTATACCGTAGATAGAAGAGTTTGACATCTACTTTGTCATTCCGAATGTCGTTCCGCTTCGCTGATGTAGTACGCGGCAGGTGTGAAACCGGTAGTGCACATTATATCTACTTTGTCAGCCAAAAACAATGTTTTTATTCAAAATCTGGTATCACGGATTGCTAATATTGACGGGCCATGCTTGCGGACATCTTCGTCACAGTTTGAGACACCCGCAGAAGCGTGAACTGCCGAAACCACAGTACGAGACATTGAGTATCTGCCATTATGCTCGATATTTTTCCGTAGAAATTGACTGATCGAGTTGGATCTTTTTTCTGAGGTATCTGAGACATTAATTGGCAACTCCTTTTTGCTTCTTTTTTGAGCGAATTTCCGAGGAAAGAAAATTCAAATACGACATGACCCCTAAAACATAGGCACAAATAGAGTCTTCAGACAAAGCATGCTAGAAAAAAATTTCAATCGATTGCATTTTGTCTACTTCGAACTGGTGGCAAAATATACAGAACTACAGTAGTCTGTTAAGAGGCAACCTTTAGTGAACACTATTTTACGTTTGTTTGAACAAACAGAAGAAGCTACTGCACACGTTCGGACGTTATCGATAAAGAAAACTGTCGAAAGGAATTCGAAATTTTCCTCTTTCGACATTTTTCATCAAGATCGACTAGAGGATTATATTTCTATTTTAATTCGTTCGAGCGCAGTATACATAAAGAATTGTTTTGTGGTTGGTAGGACTCGATGCATCGACAGCAAGCAGTATCATGAACTGTCTAAAAGATCTATCTCAACGAGGACGTAAGTGATATAATGTAATCTTTACTGTGGACAGGAATAAAATCAATATGTTCGGTTCAATTATAGGAACGATAATCTTCTCCATACACCAACCACGCTATTCCATTTTCAAACTATTCGATACAGTCATGTTCATGTGCAATGGTCGATGTGTTTATTATGGCTCAGCTAAAGATGTTGTTCCATATTTTTCCACACTTGATTATCAATGTGAGCCGTATGACAATCCAGCCGACTTCGCATTAGATGTCTTGATAGATGTTGGTCGGAAACCAGACATACTCGCAAAATTAAATAATATATACAATAAAGCATATGCAGATGCATCGGCAGCTTTTCCACGACCCGGAAATTTGATCGATCTTGAAAATCTGGATCACGAGCGACGAAAATACAAAGTTCAAGCAGTACGCTCCATGGGGGCAGAAATCTTCTATCTCTCACAACGAACGCTGCGTAATTCTGTACGAAATCCAGCATTGGCGCTCTCGCAAATTAGCGTTTCTATTATCCTTGGTTTGATAGTTGGATTACTATTCTACGATTTGAAGAAAACGACTGATTCTGGTGTTCAAAATCGACTCGGTGCAATTTTTTTTATTTCTCTCAACCAGATTTTCATCAATGTGACCGCCATAGATGCGCTTCTCAAAGAGCGTGCACTGTTCATTCACGTAAGCTTTTCCTATACAACGGAGAGAAGCTTAATCTAACGGTTTGCAGGAATATGCCAGTGGTTACTACAGAATCTTCACGTACTTCATGGCAAAATTACTATGCGATTTGTTGCCAATGCGTGTGATACCAACAATCTTCTTTTCTACCATTTCCTATTTCATGATGGGCCTCACTCGCACCAGTAGTCAATTCTTCATTTTTCTGTTAACAATCTTCATAGCCAGTTTATTCGGGTCGGCTCTGTGCTTTTTTATTTCTGCTATTGCATCAGTCTTCCGTAAGATCATCTATTTTTTCATAGTGACATTCAAGACATGTTTCCAAAAGATATCGCATGAACAGATGAGAACTAAGAGTTTTGCAAATCGCTTTTACAATAACGCTTTTTGCGCTTATAAATGTTTAGTTTACGGTAAAAACTGCTTCCTCAAATGATATAGAAATGAGCAAGCTCGTAAAAAGAAAATCTTTAACAATATTGCTTCTCGTCATCGCGAAGATCATCTGTCGTTTCTAAAAATGAACATCTTTCTTCACTTATGCATATATATTTTTCTTTGCAGCTGTGGCTCTCATCATTGCTATTCTTATTTGTGTCATGATGACAATGTTCAGTGGGTTCGTTCTTGATTTAGACAGTGTGTTTAACTGGCTCTCTTGGCTTCAATGGATTAGCGCATCCCGATATGTTTCGAATTTACTTATTATCAACGAATTTCAAGGACTCACTTTCTGTTTGCCCAATCAAACCAATGTCTGTCCGATGACAGGCGAGCAGATATTGGACAATCTGGATTTACCTCATGCTAATTTATGGGATTTATGGAAAAACTTTCTCGCACTAACAATTATGACAGTGATATTTTTAATTTTAGCTTATATTCAACTCATCAGAATCAAAAAAACAAAATAAAGCTAATTGTTGTAGTCCGATCAATGTTCCTTTCACAGGATAAGAGACAAAACGTTCTGCTCCTCTACTTTTATTTCATACAAAATTCGATTTTTCACTAATGTTATTAATAGATTTTCCATTTGTTTCAATTTTTTTTTGATTCTATCGAACAATAAAGCGTTCACTTTGATTGAATTTTCTTCAAACACAAATCCTAAAACATCGAGATCATTACTTACATAACGTAAAGTACTAAACTAACTCTCAATTTCATTGCTGAATAGATAATAGATGAATAAGTTATTCTCAAATCCGTCGTAACAGAATTCACAACTCTTAGGGTAATAAAGAAGCATAGCTCTTCCATTAATTCACACCAACGATACCCTTTAATGAATTATTCTATCGACGTACGGCATCATCACTGCCGATAAGTGATTCTTACTGGGCAAACCAGTCTTTTTGATATGTTGCGATGATACCGAGAAAAGTGGAAATCCGTGATGATGATGAATTTCAACACCTCAGATGATTTCTTTGAATAGTTCGTTGAAGGTTTTTCTAGATTTGATTATAGAGAAGTGTCAATAATATGAATGCACGACTAACTTCACTATTATGTGCTGTGTGGGTTGTTGGAATATCGATTTAGCCATATATTCACTCTAACTAAAAAGACTGATGCAATGCTATCTACTCATGTCCTTTACAGTTGGATGGATCAGATGAATTTTCATTTGAATCGTGACACAAATGCACTGTAGTTAAAATATTGGTGAGTGAAGTCTTGTATGTCTATCCCAAGCTAACTCCATCAGATAAAACATATAGTAAGCAATGTACGTATGCTCTTAATTGTGTTTGTCTTCAAAGTTTTACTAAATGTGAGAAATTCGAGGCACCTTTCATGATTTCTAGTTGTCATATTTCCAACATGTTTTCTCATTCATTCTTGATTAGCGATTTTATTTTTGTGATTGATTTGTACATGATTATTTACTATATTTTTCTGACATTAACTAATGATCATAATATCAACGCCAAGAGAAGCAGGGAAATATGATGTTTTCTCTTTCCATCATGTTATTTTTTTTTCTCGCTTGTTTGTTTAAGATGAAAGAAGATTGATACATATATCTTACTACGTATGACTCGACTAAATCATTTAGATACGAAATGACAAAACCTAACAATATAGAAAATAGTTGTAGTAATGCAATCTTTCTTGAACAACACCTTAATTCAAAAAAAAAATTCATCATTATATGCTGGGTGTGGGTGGATGTGGGTATCGATCTACGGAACAACAATACACGCCTACACTCATAGCCACACTCACCCACACCCACATCACACCCTCAAGATGGTTTAGTTGCAGAGTCGTATTGCATTGTCAGAGAAGAACCGAAATGATTTCTAATGTTAAATAGCATTGGCTTTATCTTCCATACGTTTCACATGTTCCTCAAATATTCGAATGTTCTAATGTGTAGGTGGCAAAGTCTTTCGACTAATTCGTAATGATTCATTCAAACTATTCATGTTTTCATATGCAACTGCCATCCAATAATAGGTTAAGCCGACGTCTTTGTCATCTTTTGGCAAAGTTTTCTGTTGTACTTCGAAAGCTTTTTTGCAACAATCTAATAATAACTCATATTCACCTTTTTTTGAATGAACTTTACCCATTAGTCGATAAGTATTAGCACGTAGTAAATGATCTTCAGGAACCAATGATAGAGATTTTTTTGCATATTCCAAAGTTAAATCTAATTCAAGTTTTAGAAAATGAACCTCGGCTATTGTAATATACGTTTGTCCAATATATAAATCATCTACATCAGCTTTCTCTTGTAATTCAAGACATTTGAATCTATTTTCAAGTGCTACGTCATAGTCCTTTAGAAAGCGAGCACTTTGACCTAGGAGCAAATAGCAATTTTCTTTCTCTAAAGCATCCTCCGATTCATTAAGTATTTGTTGTATAAGAGTCTTTTGTTTTTCGTAACTACCCATATTGCCTAATCATTTTCCAAGATGAAGAAGTGAAGGTGTCGGTTGCATTAACTTTTTTTCGTGTTCGAATATTTCTTTCAAAGCAAAGTCATCTGAAGAGCATAATTCTAATTTAGCAATCCAAAGATTTTGCTCGTTGTTGAATTTCATATCTTCTATTCGAAAAATCGTACCCAAAGAGATAAACACTTCATCTTCCTCTGCAAAATGACTCAAATGTCGCACATTGGCAAATGGTTTGGCGTTCATCATTTGTGAATCAATGTCAAATTCAAACAAAATATGTTTTACAGATCCAGTACCAGTTGTACTTGATTCTGCAAAAAGCTCTCCTGTTTCTTGTCTTGTCGTTGTCGACAGAAAACTGTTCATTGAAATATACTCTCCTACATTGTCATTAATTCATTTTAACTCTTTTTCATTGATAGCTTGACCTTGGTATACTTGAAGGATGGGTTTGCTTAGTGTACCAAGATATTTCTGATGTTCATCGGATAGTTGTTTGTACAAGTCAGTGATGAAAAAGCGAAAAGCAGTGAGAATATCGAAATCATAATTGCGAAGAGCTTTGTTAAGAAAGCTATAGAACAATGTATATTTAGTGTACCATCACACTGCTCGATCCATAGGGTAATTTCGGTCAAATTCATCGATTACGCGAAGTTGTTCATCATTATCGCAGTACATTACACGAAGAAAATCAAGAAGTTCTTTCTTCGCTTTCTCTGGTGCTGGTTTCATGTTTAAAATAATTTCGAGGAATAATTGCAAATGCATAAACATATAGTTTCGTTGTTCGAGCCCTTCATTGTAGTTCAGGTTATAAATACTTATTCCAATTGATTTGTCACGTACTCTTTCACGTAAATGTTGATCTTTTTTTTATTTAATTGATCATTTATTCTGAGTCGTAGAAGACGCCTTTGACCTAAAAATATAAAGAAGTCCATTCAAAACAAGGTTAGTTTTAGTACTTTAGATTCGATTATAGTGAATGCTTACTTTTGCAAACTGACGTCTCCATTCGTCGATACGCTCAAGAGTCGTACAATAGAGATAAATAGCACAGAGTTGTTTCAAATCATGAATTGCCGAAAGTAATTCGCGATTGAACTGATCGGTTATGATTAAAACTACTTTTTTTATCAACAGCAGAAGACAGATTTAGAAGCTGCTCTTCACAATCTTTCACTTTATCAAACACTTTCAGTTGATTGATAACTCCTCGTAACTTTTTTTGTAGAACAAGATTTTCTTGTGTTTCAGTCATATTTTGGTCCAACCAATATAATTGATAGGACTCCAAGTTTTGAGTTAATCGAAAGCAGGAAGGTTCCCAATCTGTCGAAGCTTCTGTACAGGTAACCATGTTTTGTTAAGAGTAGGTAAAAAAGGGGACTGAAAAAGAATCAAAAGCAAAATATAACGGAAAAAACGAGCAGAAAGAAGAAAATTTATTATTTTTTTGAAAAAAAACAGACTTTTGTATTTACCTTTTTACTTACATTATATTATTTGTGTTTTTGTGTCATTTTCTGTCTTCTTGATTTTATATGTAATTTGAATAGAGTAGAGAAATAAAAAGCAAAATAATTTGTGCAGAATCTAGCAATATAAAAGAAATAAAAAGAACGCGTATTAGTGAGTAATTAATATACAATTTATATTCTAGTGCAAAGCCGCTGGACCATCGTCAACTCACGGGAGGCTCACAAAAAAATTTCAAATTGTTATCATTCTCTTTCTTTTCTTTTTTATTTCTTTAAAACATATGAAACAGGCAGCTTCCTTCTCTAAACAAACCGTCTCGTTAAATATCCAACCGATGAAAGAACAAACAGAACAATTACGCATGATAGAATGGAATTAGAAAGAGAGAGCAAACATATTTATGTCAGGAGGTGTTCCTCCTGATATAATACTTTCTTCCGCGTGGTAGAAAACAGTTAACGAAGCACAACTAAAACAAAGAAACGCAAAAAATGAAGACACACTTGTGACGATATCTGATACAATAGATACTATTTGCGAGTTAGATGAACTATTAGTTTATTATTGCATCAAACAACGTATCTCTACTGTATTTTGTAATGCTGTATATACTATTACGCACGACACTAAGTATAAGGAAAATAATCTTGAGCAAAAGAGAAACGCTTACAATGAGAACAATGGGTATAGGTGCCCAATTAACATATGAAACCGTGAAGGACAAGGCTAGTAGTGTTGATAAAAGAAAGAGTGGGTTATGGCGCACGATAGAAATGTATGTATGAAGGACTTAAAAATATAGGGAAGGCCATTATGCGCTACTGTTGTTCTTTCATTTTGGAGTAAGTAACTAGTCAAGTATGCAGTTGAATTGTTACAACACTGAGAATTCCAACATCAAAAAGTAAAATATATTGAAGACTAGCTGAAGTACCCAGTGTTGCTTGGGAAATTCAATATTTCATGTTTGACATATTGGAAAACAGTAGCCATTTAGTTTCCTATAAGTTGTTGATTTTGGGTGTTGCAAAATGCGCTCGAATCCCTTTCCCTTCTCAAGAGTGTGGGTGTGGATGAATACAAATCCCACATCCAAGCATACTCACACTCAAATCCTTTACTTGTAGTTGCTATAAATTGAACATAAGCAAATATACAGAAAGAAAAATTTTCTTTGCAACAAGCGAAACATCATTTGGTAATAATATCAATCGAATTGAATTATTTTATCTAGCTAACTCTAAAAAGAATTTATTACCGCAGCCCCTTTTGGGGCTGAAATGTGAAACTCACGTATATTTTCGAAGAAAATAATAGTGAGTGTAAGTTTAAAGCGAATTTTTTTGCGGCTCCTCCTCCCACCTTCCCTCTATAGGTACTACCAACCACATGGTGGAAAACTGAAGACGTTTGGATACGTTTCTATAACAACAGGAAAAGGGGCGTAAGTAATATCGGCACCTATATCATTCTGAAGCTCTGTCGATATTAAGTAGTCTAAATATAGCAAGTTCTGGTTTTTAGTGAAGCAAAAGGATCGTATTGCAGGAGTCAATTATTAGGGTCATGGTATGGTATAATAATGTTAAATGATTGAAATAAATTGATAGAAAATTATTTCTCAATACAAATAATTTTGAAACGATAAATTTTCAGAACGCGCTTATCAACTAACAAAAAATTAATTTAGTTGGCATATTTTCTATTTTTAAATAAATTATTTTAAAACCTCTGACAATATACCATATGTTAACAAAAGTCAGAGTTTGTGAGTTCTACATTTTAGCACTGATAGACAAATGAGGCTGTTGTACACAATCATTATATAAAGAATTAATCGGCTTAAAGAAAAAAAAAAACCATTGACTTAACAGTCATTGGCAACACATAATTAACAACAAATTATATTTCACGTTTTAGTGGAAATGATTATATTGCTAATGGATGGATTAAATCTGACCTCGATATTCTTCTTCTTACATAATCAAATTCTGATAATGAACCTTCACTTAAAAAGAACAACAAAAATTTTGTTTTTCTTTTTATTCAGTGATTTGTTAATAGTATCTGAATTATGTGCACCAATTGTTATACGTTCCTCCCAAACTATAAATAATGATCGAACATGAACTATTCCTTCATCATATGATTATGAAATA